GTGAGGAGGGAGCAAGAGTAGCCAAACAGGCTCATAACACAGATTTGCAGGCAGCCCGTGTGAGCAGGCAGCAGGCTGGGGAGCAAACAGCCAGCAACTCATATGGGACCCCCAGCCAAAGCAAGTCAAGTGGGTGTTAAAGCAACACATTTGCTGTCGTGGGCTGGAAGGGGGTAACCAGTGGAGAGGCTAGGGCAGCATCAGGCCGAAGAGACTCGCAGCAGAGATTGTGCCCGTGGGATTTAGGAGACCTCATGGATGTGAGTGGAAAGTCACTGGCATCTGGGGCTGATCCAGCAAACTGCTGGAGTGAGCGTAGCCGAGATGAAGGAGGAAGGAGAGACAGTCAGCTCTCCATTAAACATTAATGCTAGGCTCTGACTTGCATACAGTGAGATGGTAAAAGCCTCGGGATTGCTGGGGATCGATCCCAGCCATGATGCAAAATACCAGCACTGAGCCCTGGAGGTGGAGCAAGAACTGAGCCGGAGCCCAGGACCGCCCTGGCACAGCCCCTTGGCAGGAGGTAGAGAAATAAATAAAAGAAATAAAGTCCCAGGCAATAAAAATCCCAGAAGACGACATGCCCAGGCTGGGTGGGAGAAAGCCACTGCTGCCAGACACAAGCCATGAGGGAAGGAGCCCAGCACCATCCTTTTCCCACGCCCTCCTCGCCCTCTCTGAGTGATGGGAGCCTTCGGCTCAGAGTAAGGCCATTTACTCACCCGCAAATATTCCCTTCCCTGGTTCCAAGGCTGGGTTAAACCTCTAGCACAGGGGCATTAATGCAATGCATGCGTAAGCTCTTCAAGTCCCCCGGTTGTCTCTTCAGCACCCACGAATCCAAGCTCCCGAGGGAGCCCTTGCCTCACAGAGGAATCATAGAATCATAGAATGGTTTGGGTTGGAAGGGACCTTAAAGATCATCTAGTTCCAACCCCCCTGCCATGGGCAGGGACACCTTCCACTAGACCAGGTTGCTCAAAGCCACATCCAGCCTGGAAGTGCAAAAGGAGCTGCAGGCAGGTGCTGGGGGTGGGACAGTAAATTGGGATAGAGTTAATAAAGGTATTGACCTCTCCAAAATAACTAATCTGTGCATGGGACCACTGCAAGAACACATGTACTCCAAGGATCCATGGTGGTTCATGAGAAATAAAATTATACACTGCTGTAGCTACAACTCTGAGTTGTATCAGGGATGGGACACAGTGGGATTTTGGCCAAAGCATCAGCTGTGGGAAGGGTTAATGGCACATGAGATAAGTTTAGTGGGATTTGGTATTTTTTTTTAAACTCCGACAAACAAAGCATATGAGAAAATCCAGTTCACAGCTGAGCCCTGGCTGCCTGCCCACTAGGGCAGGGGAAATGCAGATGGTTCGAAATACCCACGCGCCCGCGTTTCTCCCCGCAGCCCGTGGCTCAGGGTCTCTCCGCACTGTATTCGAGCTGGCTGAGGCGGCAGCAGTGCAAATTGCAGTGTAAAAGCAGCGCCGAACCAGGGGTTAATCTACTTTGCTGGACCCCCGCCGGCTTCCCTGGACCCATGGAGAAACCGGGATCCTGCGAGGCTTCACTGGTTCAAAAATAGTAATTAGCTCTCAAAGTAAATAGGTGTTAACAGAAACAAAAACTTTCACCACAGTCTGGGTAAACACCTTGGGGTCAATTTAATTTCCCTTCTCCCGGCAGATGTAATCGCACTGCTCTGCAATTATTTTCAGGTCGAGGCGGGGAACGAAGGCACCACGGTGGCTTTGCGGAGCAGCTGCTCCTCGGGGGGTGCCGGGGCAGCCGGCGGTACCTGCCACTTTGCTGACATTTAGCTCCTCGAGGCTGAAACGAGCTTCCTTTCAACGAACCAGATGTATAATGCAGCTGGCGATCAGCTAACCCAGCAGCTAACCGTAGCACGACGTTAAACCGCCCTGAACTCCATCCTATTTCTTAATCCTTAGGGTCCCCCAGTCTAGACAGGACGTGAAGGACTAATGTGAAAACCAAGTGACAGAAAATTTACACTCTCCTATTGAGCTGCAAACAGAAAAAAGCATCAAAGGGTATAAATTCACTTGGCCTTTTTAATTTTTTTTCCTGTTGGGAGTGCGAGCAGCACAGTGCCGCACCGGTGCAGAGGATTTGCGGCCAGTTTGCATCACTCCAGGCAGCCGCCTTTGGATTGCCCGTTTGCTCACCAAATCGTGCTAAAATGCAACCAAACCCCCATCTTTTCCCTACCATGCTGGGGAGCTGGTGAAATAGGCTTTTACCCAAACTGCCCCAAAAGCTAGTGGGTTTTCTCTCCACCCGAAGTGGGTTAAAAGCGAACCCATGACCGGTGGCTGGGGCTCAGCTGATGCGGGGTATTCCTCCCTGCAGGACTCAGCATGGGATGGCAGCTGCGGTAAACACCTTTGCTGGTGATGGAGTGCTTCCCCATCCAGGATGCAAATATAAGGCAGGTGGGAATAGCCCGGCTTTGGGGCCAGATGGAGCATGGCTTTTGGGTCAGCATAAAGCAGTCATGCACTCAGGAACGAGAACAACCAGAAAAATGTGCACAGCGGCTTCCCTGGCGGTTTCTGATCTCGTTCTGCCATGCTGCCTGTCTGTTGGGAGAGGGAGGTTTAGTTAATTAATTGCTTCAATTAGCATAGAGCTATTCCTGCCCATGATGGTTATGTTTTCCTCCCTTTTTGGTGCATCCAATTAGTGACTCATTCACTCTCCAAAGCAGAGGCTACAAGAAGGCACAGAGAGGTGCAAGAAAGAGGGGGTGAAGGTCTAAGAAATTCTTCTTGCGAGAGGATGGTGAAACACTGGAACAGGTTGCCCAAAGAAGCTGTGGATGCTCCATCCCTGGAAGTGTTCAAGGCCAGGCTGGATGAGGCTTGGAGCAACCTGGTCTAATGGAAGGTGTCCCTGCCCATGGCAGGCGGGTTGGAACTGGATGGTCTTTAAGGTCCCTTCCAACCCAAACTATTCTATGGTTCTATGAAACGCAAGAGATCCCAAGCTCTATTTCTACCCAGGAACCAGCTTATTCCCATGCAAATCCCTCATTCTCTCCCACCCCTCAACCCCTGTCTTCAAGGAGCTGATGAAAAGGGAGCACAGCAGTGACAAATATTGCCACGACTGTTTTATTTCTCCCTCCAGCTGACCCATCAGGAATGATGGGTTACGGGTTTATGCACCCTAAGACAGACCAGACTTCCAGTGCTCATCATGCTGCGACGATCCCGCACCCTCACCGCCCAGTCTCGGGTCGTGGGTCCTTCAAACAAACCTTATCTACTTTGGGAAATCGATGATTTATTCACCACTACTTAGCAGTGATGGCAAAGGAAAGGTGAGTGTGGGGTCACCGCTTCGGCGTGCACCAAAGCGAAGCACCAGCCCTGAATAATTCATGCTCCCTCTTTTCTGCAGCATCTGGACACATCTGCTGCATTCGACGTTGCAGGCTTTTTCTCGGCTGACTCAGAAAATCACGCTTTGGCAGCCGGGTAGCGTTTCAAGTGGGTACTT